ATGGATGGATGGATGGACGGATGGTTGATTGATAGATGGATGGATGGATGGATGGATGGATAGATAGATAGATAGATAGATAGATAATAGATATTTCTGAATAGCAGTCAGGCTCTTTTATTTATTTATTATTTATTTATATATCAATTATTTATATATCAATTATTATTTATATCACTGCCCAACTCCCTCACAAGGAGGGACTCAGGGCGGTTCACAACAAAACAATTTAAAATCAGTAAAAACATAAATAATACAAATATAAAATACAATTATTAAATACAATGAAATACAATGACTTTTGGACTCAGGGCGGTTCACAACAAAACAATTTAAAATCAGTAAAAACATAAATAATACAAATATAAAATACAATTATTAAATACAATGAAATACAATGACTTTTGGACTCAGGGCGGTTCACAACAAAACAATTTAAAATCAGTAAAAACATAAATAATACAAATATAAAATACAATTATTAAATACAATGAAATACAATGACTTTTCAGAGTCATCATCAAATATAGCCCAATGTAGAGGATGTTGCAATTAAACAGTCACACAGTAATCAGGGCATGAATTTCTGTCACCAAGGCATCCATTCCAGGTAGGGCTGCAACTACTGCCCCAGCAAAAGTTGGCCAAAGGCCCCTCTGGACATGGCTTCCACCTGCAGGATCCATGATTCCAAGAAGACCTCAATGCATGGACCAGATTTTTTAGGGGGAGTGATATTACTGGATTTTAGCTGGATTTTTTGTTCATTTCAGTACTTGATCACTTCTAGCCACCAGTTCAGGCATTCCATGACATGTCCAATTCAGTCTGGGGTAGTGATGTAAATGGCATCTCACCCTAAACTGACAGCTAGGGTCTCCCAGCAATTTCAGTATATTGATGATACTCAGCTTTATATCTCTGCCCCTGGCTGCCCAAGTGATTCCAGGCAGGTTCTGTTTTGGTGTTTGGAGGTTGTGGGAGTATGGATAGGAACAACAGGCTTCAACAAAACCCTAGCAAGACTAAGTAGCTCTGCATATTAGTACCCTCCACGGATTTTCCATCTTTATTTCTAGATGGGGTTCAGTATTCCAACAGATGCAGCATGCAATTTGCAGGCCCTCCTGGATTCATGGCTCTTGTTTGAGGAGTAGATAGAGCTGTGGCCAGGAGAGCCTTTGCACATATTATACACCAATATATACACCTTTTCATATTATACACCAATTACATTTGTTCCTGGACTGGGACGCTGTGCTTACAGTTACTAATGCCTTGGTCAGCTCTCAAATGGACCACTGCAGTATGCTTTACACGGGGCTGCACTTTAAATGCATCTGGAAGCTGCAGCAGTTACAGAGTGCAGCAGG